GCTTCTCCTCTGTCGGCTTTTCTCTCCATGAGCCCATCGCTTAAGCATGTGGCCGAACATGCGACTGGCTGTGTCATGCTCTGTCGGGCGAAAGACCCCGTCGGCCTCGCAGGGCAACTCAACGACGTCGGCGCCCTGCCCTACAGGAGTCCTGCCGCTGCCCTCCTGCGACCGCTCCGCCGCGACCGAGCGCCCCGCCCCCCCCGCGCCCCCACGCCGCGGCGCCTGGGGCGGCCCCGAGGCGACCTAAATCCCGCCCGGACCTGCCTCTGAGGACGGCCGAGCATGCTGGAATTCCTCGCCGTGCTCATGGCGCGCCGCCTCTCGTGCCCGAGCAGCCTCGCCCTCCGTGCCGCCTGCCCCCGAGGGCCGCCTGATCTCTGCCTGGGGCTCTGACAGCTGCGCGTGCGTTGCGCTCGTCTGCGTCTCCAGCGGTCGTTTCTGAGCGCCGCCTGCCCCGGTCGGCCCGACGGCCTCGGCGCGGGCCTCCGCGGCGGCTGGGCGCCCCGACGGGCGCGGGCGGCCTGCCCCTCCCGCTGACCAGCTTCGAACGCGCCCCAATCCGTAAGATCGGCCAGCCCAGGGCAGTGACAATCTCATGCGTTTGCCCTCGCGAGCCGAAGGAACCCTCGAGGTCGGCGCCGAGGTGGATGATGCCAGACATAGGGGCGGGGGCGTGCTTCAAGCCGGCCACCCCGCGGCCTCTCCGAAGCTCAGCCCGCCGCTGCCGAAGCGGACATTGCCTCGCGTCGTCTGCGCCCGGCCGAAGCCGCGAGCCGTCAGCGCCAACTGCTGCTACTGGGGCCGAGCGCGCTGCTGCAGGCCCCCCTGAGCCGTGCCTTCCCCGCCCAGGCAGGGGGGCTGCCTCGGGCCTGAGCCTCGCCCCTCGCGGCGAAAACGACGCTTCGTTGGAGCCCGGAGCGCCGCGGACACAGTGGGCGCCGGCGCTCGCGCGCTGGCGCCCGGCGCCGAGGGCGCCAGCGCATAGGCGCGAGCGCTAGGGGCTGACCAGTTCAACGCCCGTCGGAGCTCCTGTCTGCGCATCTCAAGCTTGGGCGAAGTACGAACAAGTAGCACTGGGCCTGGAACGTCGCCCCCCCCGCGGCACCCCTGCAGACACGAGGCAAGCCGCCTGATGGGGCGGCGCGTGGAGCCGCGGCTGCTCCGCGATAGAAAACCAGGCGTGGAGGGCAATGCGTCGCAAGACTTACTGACAATAAAAGCAATCGCCCTTAACGGCAGTAGCGTTACTCAGAAGTTAGAAGAGGCGCCCAGTAGCAGTGGCGGCAACGCATCGCTGTAATTCTGATGATGGCACATGGCGCAGCAATACTAATGGGCGCAGTCGTCGGAGCGGTATATCGAAGACGCGGAAGTAGCAGTAGTGGTCGAGGAATGCCCACCTGACGCCGAAGCCCCTCTGGCCCTCGCGGGCGCCCCGATCCAGCGATGGCTCGTTGCAGCGATCGATCGCTGGCACCATCACCTTCGCGCCCGCCCTCTTGAGCGCGGCCGATGGCCCGCGCGCTGCGAGCGAGGGCCCCCCCCCCCTTGGCCGGCCCGCGGGGCAAAGACAAGAAGGATGTCATTGACGGGCGCGGGCGGAGGGGTTGCCACTCAGAAGGACCTGCGCCAGCTCAATGAAGACAAGGGCAGCGCGGCGCGACCGCTGCCGGGCCGGGCACGGGGGCCCGCCGGGGCCGGGGGGGGGCGGGGCAGACGCGGGGGATCACCCGCTCAATGGTGGCCCGCGTCAGGGGCGGGGCGCCCGACCAGTCGAGCGGCTTCGCAGTCTGTTTCAAACGCTTCTTTACATTCTCGAGCGGGGCTGATTTCGGCGCGAGAACAGCGGCCCAATGGGCCCCCGAGGCTTCGGGCGCGCGCGAAGGACAGGCGAGGCCGGCGCCCGCGGGGGTCGAGGCCCTGGAAGGGGAGAGACTTGCCCTGAGGGGCCCATAGCTTGCCCCGGCGCCGCCCAGTCTTCGCATGCGCTCGGAATCTTTTCTTTTTTTTGAAATGGAGCGTTTGCAGCTTGGGCCCCCTGCTGGGCCCCGACTGACCGAATGTCCAAAATGCCCAGCTGAAGCTGTTCGCGCAGCCCGCGGAAGCCCGCCGGCCACTTCGACGACGCGACAGGCGACGGCGACCCGGCGCCAGCCATGAACTCCGCGACAATCGCAGAGCGAACCCGCGTGCCACGCGCAAGCCTGGCGCCCCGAGCATGCGCGCAGCTCTCGGCGTGGAGCGGAACAGCAGCAGGCGCGCCTCAGGCGGCGGTGTTCTCGCGCGCGCCAATCGGTCGCGAGCCGCGCTCGCAGCCCGCGGCATCTTCGAAATGTCCGATGGAGAAGTGGGCGAGGCCAGCGCATTTGTGCATTCCTGCGATCCACAAACAAAGCGAGAGACAAGCCGATCCTCCAGCTGACGGCGTCTTCTGGAGGCCAAAAACCACTGACCCTGGGGCATGATCCCAAATTCCTTCCTCATGCAAACGATCGGACTCAATAAAGACTGTCGCTGCAATGTTCCATTGGTCCGGAAGCCGACGGCCCCCCGCAGCGCATTGCGTCGGTCCGCCAGGATCCAACTCGCTCGTCTCCGACAAAGTGCCCCGCCACGTCGATCCACGTTCTCTTTGCATGGGCTCCGCAATCAGTCCAATCCCTCCTCAAGCTCAAGCGCGCGAAAATGCGTAGGGGCGTCCGCGTTGAAGGTCATGCCGCCCATGACGATGACTGCGACCTTCTCAGGGCACTGGAGCGCTGCCCTCGATCCAGCACGGATCCGAGCAGCAATGGCGCCGACCTGCGTCTGGGTCAAGCCGAGTTGTGGATATTGAAATTAGACCGCTAGTACGGTCTCACCACGCTCCGAGGTAGCCGCTGACCTGATAACGAGCCTCTGCGCGCGCCAGGGCACCGGACCGGCTCCGAATGCCGAGTCGACCCATTGAGAACACAGAACACCCTCTTCAAATTTCGCCTAGGGCACCACTGGCAACAACATCGCAACTCCGCCAGCGTTGTGCCGTGGAATAGTGGCTACCATGCCGAAGTGCATCCGTCTCCGATGCAATTGCGAGCGGAACTCTGGGACAATGCCATGGGCCCCCACAGAATGACGCCTGCAATCCATGCTGAGCTTGTTACATTTCTCGAATGTGAAATTTCTTTCATGATGGGGCAAGGCCCGCGCTCCACGCACACAGGGGGATCTTCTCCGCCGAGCCGCGACGCCGACAGTCAACATCCCGCCTATGCATACTGAAATTAAATATGCCACTGGATATCGTCCTCCACCGAATAAAGCGATCGTTGGCAGTCTCCTGCGACGCCGTCTGGTCCAAACCTTTGTTGCGCACCGCCGCGTAGTTCCAAGGAGGCCTGGGGCGACACTCGCGGGTTTCATGTGTCTGCGCCGCGATGGGCGGGACCCCGTCAACATGCGCCAAACCTCTGGCTCTGTCATGCTTGGTACGAAGCTGGGGGCACTTATCCGTGGCCATGGTTGCGACCTTCTTTGTCTGGTTTGCTTGGGGAGTTGCCAACAATTTTCCATTGGTTGTCTTGAGTTCCCGCTGCCGGAAGTCACTCCAGAACTTGAGACTTCACATCTGCGGCCGATGCGAAAACAAACATATTAGCGGCAATAATCGTTTGCTCTGGCTGCCTATCTTAAACCTCCACTTCCGTGTAATATTTGATGGGGGGGGCCTCTCCTGCAATAGTATTCCCTCCCACATGTCTTCCGTTCGTTTGCGCATGTCCGCCTTGGAAGAGCCCATCGCGTTCTGACTCGCTTGGAACCCTGCAATCTCAGAAGCGACCTGCTCATGGATAATCCCCAGACTTTCTGCCATCTGCTTGGCGACGTTACATGTGTGTTGTGTTGATATCAGATACGATGGGTTGCTTCAGTGCGCCAAATTTGTTGTCGACCGTGTCCGGCATTTCTTTCTGAAAAGGCACCCAAGTGGTCCTCGACACGCGAGCTGGATGCTGCAGCCTCACGCCCGTTAGACCTGCCACGTGCAGGCGTTGCCGCGACGCCGCCTACCACATCCACGGGTCACCCCACGGGATCCACGCCACGGCTCACGTTCCATCCCACGGGTCACCTCCCGCATCAGACCAAAGGTTGGCAGCAGGAGGGGAACTGGCAGCAGGCGGCTCATCCTTGGGGCTGCGGCTGCGCTGGGCATGCTTTGGCATGGGGCGCGCGCCAGGAGGCGCCCGCGCGGGAAGGCACTGTGGCCGAAATGGCTGCGGGTGCGAGAAGACGCATTCGCGGGCTGTCGCCGCGAACCGACTTGCAGCAGTGGTGTCGCCCCGTCACTCGTAACAGATCATCGGACAGGCCCCGAAGTTAATCATGATTGAGTCTGTTATTTGACCTTCACATAGTTAGCATTGAACAAAATTTGCTACGGACATCTCACCCGCTTACCTCCGATCAGCGTACAGATATCAGGTGCGGGCCAACATTTTTCCCGAAACTAATACCCCAACCGCGTCACAACTAAGCGAGGAGACGGAGGATCAGGGAGGAGGATGCGGGAGGAGGAGGAGGAGGAGGAGGAGGGGGAGGAGGAGGAGCCTGTACCTCCCACGGTATGATTATGCCACTACGCGGCCCCTTTGCAATGACAAGCGTCTTATCCCGCACATCTTGTAGGGGGGTGATTCGGATGTAGGAAACGCAGACATACATCGGAATCGAGCAGATCACGACGCTGGAGGTAGGGTTCTTCAGAGGCCAGCAGTCCCTGAGGGTCTCCAGAGGCCTCTGGGGGTCAAAGAAAAATTAAACATTTCAACGTATATGCATCTTCGATCCTCGAGAGTCCGCTCCTTGAACCGTTCGATCCTCTATCCCCTCCCGGGGGGCCAAAGGGCTCTGCGGTCCCATCGGGAGATAATTAAGAAGTCATTGTGGGGCACCCGTTCGCAGGCCACTTTCTTACTTGAGGTGCCCATTTACTGAAGGACCCCCGGAGCCGCCTGAGAAGCCGACGACCACGCACGGGAGCTCCCAGGGCCCCCGCGAGCTGAGGCAGAGCGGCGGCAGGTTGTACGCCTCTTCCGGCGCGGGGGGGGGGGGGACGCGCGGCGAGGGCCTCTTTCTCCCCAGGGGCAGGCGCGGCGCTGCGTTGGGAACGGTGAGCTCCAGGGAGGGAGGAGAGGGAGGGGGGAGAGGGAAGGAAGTGATGGAAGAGGGAAGGGAGGGAGGGAGTGGAAGGGGGAGGGCAGGGAGGGAGAGGGAGGAGGACCAGGCACGGAAGCTCCAAAAGGACCCGCGAGCTGAGGCAGAGCGGTGAGAAGTTTTGCGCCTCTTCCGCAGGTGCGGGGGGGGTGGCTGGAGCGGCGAGGGTATCTGGGAGACGGCGGGGTGCTGTGAAACCGTAAGCTTCAAAGCAGGGGCCTGAGAGGATTAGTTGGAGCCATGCGCGCCCCCCCCCGGCCCATTGATACGTAGCACCCCGCAATTGCGGATAAGAGTGAGGGGGCGGGCGCGGGCGACGCGGGCGTCGTCGAGCCGGCGGACCTCGTGGCCCCCAGCTTCCCTGTCGATGGCGCCCTCCTCCTCCTCCTCCTCCTCCTCCTCCTCCTCGTCCTCGTCCTCATCGTCATCGTCATCCTCCTCCTCCACCTCGTCCTCCTCCTCTTTTTCCTCGTCCTCACTCTCCCCCCCTCGTCCTTTCATCATCGTCCTCACATTGTCGTCCTCCCCCTTCATCGGCCTCCATCGTCGTCCTCCCATTGTCGTCCATCATCATCATCATCCTCCCCCTCCTCGTCCTCCTCCTCCCCCTCCTCCCCCTCCTCCTCCCCCTCCTCCCCCTCGGCATTGGTTTGTTCAGTGAACGTGGTTTGGGTCGCGGGTGGGTCGCGGGCTCTCCACCTCCACCTGGAAGGAATGTAAAAACAGCCCGCCGCAGGCGCCAAACAATTTGGTTTGTACACTGAACGTGGTTTGGGTCGCGGGTGGGCTGCGGGTTCTCCACCGGGAGCGAATGCAAAAGATGCCCGCCGCAGGCGCCGAAAAATTTGGTTTGTACCCTGAACGTGGTCGCGGGTGGGCCGCGGGGACTGCAAAAGATGCCCGCCGCAGGCGCCGAAAAATGTGGTTTGTACCCTGAGCGTGGTTTGGGTCGCGGGTTGGTCGCAAGTTGGTCACGGGGTGGGTCGCGGGCTCTCCACCTGGAAGGAATGCAAAAAAAGCCCGCCGCAGGCGCCGAAAATGGTGGTTTGTACCTTGAACGTGGTTTGGGTCGAAGGTGGGTCGCGGGTGGGTCGCGGGGTGGGTCGCGGGTGGGTCGCGGGTGGGTCGCGGGTGGGTCGCGGGTGGGTCGCGGGTGGGTCGCGGGGTGGGTCGCGGGGTGGGTCGCGGGGTGGGTCGCGGGGTGGGTCGCGGGGTGGGTCGCGGGGGGTCGCGGGGTGGGTCGCGGGTGGGTCGCGGGTGGGTCGCGGGTGGGTCGCGGGGTGGGTGAGCAGGTTGGGTCGCGGGTGGGTCGCGGGGCGGGTTGCGGGATTGACGACGACAACAAACAACAACAAACAACAACAAACAACAACACGAATCCGCACCGCGGAATTCCACTTCAGCCACGCACCGAGGGACAGTGAATGACCGTTCGGCCCCCTCACTCTGACCCTGAACGTGGTCGCGGGTGGGCCGCGGGCACTCCACTTGAAACGACTGCAAAAGATGCCCGCCGCAGGCGCCGACAAATGTGGTTTGTACCCTGAGCGTGGTTTGGGTCGCGGGTTGGTCGCAAGTTGGTCACGGGGTGGGTCGCGGGCTCTCCACCTGGAAGGAATGCAAAAAAAGCCAGCCGCAGGCGCCGAAAATCGTGGTTTGTACCTTGAACGTGGTTTGGGTCGCGGGTGGGTCGCGGGTGGGTCGCGGGTGGGTCGCGGGTGGGTCGCGGGTGGGTCGCGGGTGGGTCGCGGGGTGGGCCGCGGGCGGGTCGCGGGGTGGGTCGCGGGTGGGTCGCGGGGTGGGTCGCGGGGTGGGTCGCGGGGTGGGTCGCGGGGTGGGTCGCGGATGGGTCGCGTGGGTCGCGGGTGGGTCGCGGGGTGGGTCGCGGGTTGGGTCGCGGGTTGGGTCGCGGGTGGGTCGCGGGGCGGGTTGCGGATGGGACGACGACAACAAACAACAACAAACAACAACAAACAACAACACGAATCCGCACCGCGGAATTCCACTTCAGCCACGCACCCAGGGACAGTGAATGACCGTTCGGCCCCCTCACTCTGATTACGCCGACGCCGATTACGAGTACCAATTCGACGCGGGGACGCGGAAAACTCGCGGCGCACCGAGCGTTGCACCTTCTGGCCCGCCACCGCCGCCTGAGGTGCTGCCCAGGGGCGCCGCAGAGTAATCGCCTCGACACGGGCCAGACCGAAACGACACCTCTTGGCTTGAGTTGTGGGGACTCGGCGTCACCGGCAGCACAATCTTCTGGTGCGCCGAGACCATGGGTGACGCGGCCGTCCACGCACTCGGGAGCCTGAAGGCCGCGTTCCCCACCCGAGTTCGGGGCCGCGCTCACCCTGAAGGTCATCCCCTCGTTGACCGCTCACGGCTTGCGGACCATCTTTGCACCATGCAGCTGGGCCGCTTGGCTGACCCATCTGCTCTTTGCGTGCTGCCCTCGGCGCCCGCCTGGCGATGCAGAGTCTGATGAGCTTCTGCCAGCAGCAGTGCCGCAGCCGACGCAGGTCAGCTGGGCTGGCCTTGGCGCAGGCAACGAGACCACCGCGGAGTACTGCCGCAGGAAAATCAAAGTCCGCGGCTCCCAGCGCTAGCCGAAGGACCTCCTCGCAAGGACAGACGGCCACGCGGCTAGTGCCCGCTTGAACCCTACCGACCCCAAGCGTGTCGACCGCGCCGGCTTCTCGGTGGGATCGCGACCTCGTCAAAAGCGCGAGCGCCCGCCAAAGGCGCATCCGCGTCGAGGAGCAGGCCCATGCTGCATCTCTGCCCGACGGCCAGGTTGAAGGGCAAGGCCAAGGAGACCGACTGTGCCGAGTACGCCGCCCTGGATGCCGAGGCCATCGTTGGCTGGGGGGCCCGCGCCCACTTCACCGCATGCCTCTTCGGCGTCCTAATGGCCTAGGTCCTCAAGAGCTTTCCCGCCCTGTGCATCTGATGTGGAAGCTGCTGCCGCCGGCGTCGCCGCCATCGTCCCGCGACTGGCGGTGCGACGCCAGGCACGCAGCCCAGCGACGTCGCATGCTCCCTCGACCAGGAGAGCGAATCGGAAGCCGAGGCCGAGGAGAAGCCCTGCGAGGCCGTGAAGTTGGGCCTCATGGTGAAGGGTACCGTTCGCCCGCTTGCCTCCGATGGGTGCATGGGGGGACGCCGGCCCAAGCCCCGCGACGCTCCTGGTCGAAAACGGTCAGGCCTCAGACCTGCCGCCAGCGTCGGAGGGCAGCAATGCCGAAGCTTGCCTCTGCGCACACCGCGGCCAGGTGCACCGCGCCGCGAGGTATCAGAACCAGGATAAGTGCTCGCAGGTGTGACGCTCTCTCGCCAGGCGGGGGACACATGCTCTGGCGCCCCCCTCCTCTCCGCCTCGTCCACGCAGCAGGAAGCAGCCCGAGAGCAAAGCCTTTCTGAGGCGGGCGAGGCCTGGTTCGATCGAAGCTCGTGGCAATCAAGGAACAGCGCAACGTAAAACCTGGGACTTGGATCGGGGACGCACTAACCCGGGCCAGACCGAACCCATGTCGGCCAGGGCCCTGTCGCCAAGCCTGGCCAGCCGCTCAGAGGCTCCCAAATCGGGGTCAGCGGAGGGCGAAGGGGGAAATCGGCCCCACGTGGTCCTCAAACCAGCATCAGCCAGAAGGGATTGGCTGACCCCCCGTTGCGTGAGCCCCGATTGGAGATTTGGTCAGGAGCTCCCGAGGCCAACTTGGCGGCGCGCACAAGGGGGTAGGAGGAGGGGGGAAGGCTTCTTAGAAGGAGGCTGCTTCTAAGAAGGTGTCTCCCCCCTTCCCCCTACGTATAGCCCCCTCTGCGCATGGCCGAACGTTGCAGACAAATCGTGGCATCGGACGTCCGGGAAGCCTCTCACGTCCAAGGCACGGGGCAGCCTCGCGCGCGCGCCCGCACTGGCTCCCCGCTCTCCACTGCCGCTCGCATCAGAAGGCGGTGCTCAGATGCGGCCATCACGCTATCGGCCCTGCCTTACCTGCAAGAGATAATGCGACCTTTTTATTTTCTTGGGCAGGCTGTTGGGCGACGCTTCACCCGGAGCGTCATATGCGACCTCCTCCTCCTCATCCTCCTCCTACCATCTGGCAGAACTGCACCACATTCGCACGTGTGGGCATCGCAACGAGAGCCTAAGGAACGCGATGAGGACGCGCGCATTCGTGCTGCTCAGAGCAGTGGCCACGAGAGAACGGCGATGATGACTCAGACGCTGCTTTTTTGGTTGAGGCGAAGAGGGAGTCTGCGCTCACGGTGACCAGTGCAACAACGGCGCGGCACGTGAGCATGGCAGGGACAATACAAGTGGGGTTGAAAAAACGTCTAGCTTTCCGAGCACCTCAGGGGGCCGATTAGGGGCCATTGCGCCAACTTTCCTGAAATCGTCGCCGCCCCCCCCCCCCCGTTTACTGCTCCCCGTTGCCGCCGCCCGCCCGACTTTCGCCACGACGGCGCGGGCCCCGCTCCTGTCGCCGCGTGAGCCGCTCGACCTCGGACGACCTCCGCCGCCCAGGGCCCTCGGGAAACTACCAACGGGCCTCAACCGCCTTGAACACCCACGCTGCCAACGCGCGTTGTCCACACCAGCTCACCGTGCACACGTCCTAGACACACACACACACACACGCCGAGAGATAGAGAGAGAAAGAGAAACAACACAAAACGACAAAAAGGGAAAGCGTGCGTGTGTTCAAAGAAGGAACGCGCACACGCATCCCACCCCCATCTGAATTGTTGGGGGTGGGATTCGTTGGTGCGCGCTCGCGATGCTCATGTCCCAACCCGCCACACCCTGCCTCGTCTGCGCCCGAGCATGAGCTCCTTCCTTGCCTCCACCCCCGCGCCGCCCACGTGAAAGGGGGAAGACGACATGCGTCGCAATTCCCCATGGATGCATCGCTGCGCGATTATAAGCGGACGACGACGGCGGCGAGCGACCACCGGCAAACGATTACAAACGGGCGACGAACGACGAACGACGGACGACGATCGACGAACGACGACGACGACGATGATGACGACGAGCGACGAACGACGAACGGCGAGGCGACGAGGACGACGATTGTCGACGAACGGAGGACGACGACAAACGACGCCGCAACGCGTATCGCAACGCGACCACCGCGCGGAGGGGGATCTGCATGAAGAATTGAAAGGCTTTCTCGGGAAACCTCAGGTCGCCAGGCCTCTCTGGTCATGCGTCGAGCGCGCGTCGCGCCACGCATGGTGGGACAGTGCCGCCCCTTCGGCGGTAAAATTGTTTGCGCTCGAATCAGCTGGCGCGCGGCGGCTGGCCTGGACAACGATCGCGCGGGCGCAAGCGAAGACTCCCGCGTCGAATGGTTGGCCCAGCCCCAGAACGCAGTGTATTGCGCTGGGGTCGGCGCCCGGCTCCATCCGACTCCGAGCCCGACTGGCCAGCGCCCGAACGCACGCGGGATGACTCGTCTCGTTGCGTCGGTAGCGCACTCGGCAAACGATGGCCGCGCGGTGGTCGGCGCACAGCGCCAAGCGGGACAGCGCCTCGCTGCGCGGCTGGCAACGTGCGAGTGCTCGCGAGCGCCCCCGCGGGCGCGTCGACATCCAAGCCAATCGCTCCGCAGCCACCGCGCGAGGAGGAGTGGGGCTGCATGAGAAGATGTCATCTGCAGCCGCGTTGTTCGCGATGGGGTCGGCGCGCGGCGCCAAGTAGCTCCCATGCCTGCCTGCATCAAGCTCGAGCGCGCAGGGTAAGAGTCGCGCGTCGCAAGGTTGGCCCAATCTTGGATCGCAATGCGCTGCGCTGGGATTGGCGCGCGGCACCGATTCCATTTCGCGCGCGCCTGGCCAGCGCTCGAGCGCAGGCGGGATGACTTGCCGCATGGCGTCGGCAGCCTTCTCCGCTAACGGTGTTCGCGCGGTGGTCGGCGAGTGGCGCCAAGCGCGTCAGCGCCTCACTGCGCGATGCGAGAGCGCGCGGGCGTCCCTGCGGATGCGTCGCAGCGGCGTTGCAAATACAAGCTATCGCTCCGCGACCACCGCTCGGAGAAGAGGGGGGGCTGCATGAGAAGACGTCAGCTGCAGCCGTGCTGTTCGCGCTGGGGTCAGCCCGCGCCGCCAAGCAGCTCCCTCGCTTGTCTAAATAGCGTTCGCGAGCACAAGGGAAGACTCGAGCGCCGCATGGTTGGCCCAATCCTGGAACCTCCTGGGCTCCTGGGGCCTCCTGGGGCCTCCTGGGGCCTCCTGGTGTCTCATATTGCCTTCTGGGGCTTCCGGGTGTTTCCTGATACCTACTGTGGCTTCCTGTGGCCTCCTGGGGCTTCCTGCGAAACTCCTGCAGCCTCCTGGGGCCTCCTGGTGCCTCCTATGGCCATTTGGGGTCTCCTGGTGTTTCCTGGTACCTCCTGTGGGCTCCTGTGGTTTTCTGCAAGCCCCCTGCCTCCCGGGGCCTCCCGGGGCCTCCTGGTGCCTCTTGGCGCCTCCTGGTGCCTCCTGGCACCTCCCGGGGCCTCCTCGTGCATCATGGGGATTCCTGCTGCCTCCGGATGCCTCCTGTGGTCTTCTGGGGCCACCTGGAGCTTCTTGTGCTTCTTGGGGTTTCCTGGGGCGTTTTGGAGCCTCCTGGGGCTTCGTGGTGCCTCTTGGGGCGTCCTGGTGACTCCTGGGGTTTCCTGGGGCCTCCTTGGGCCTCGTGTGGTCTCCTGTGGCCTTCTGGAACTTCCTGATGTTTCCTTGGAGTTCCTGGGGCCCTCCTGGGGCCCTGTGGTTGCTTTCTGCGAGCATCCTGGAGTTTCCTGGTGACTCCTGGTGCCTCCTAGAGCCTCCTGGAGCCTCCTGGTGTTTCCTGGGGGCCTCCTGGGGTTACCTGGTGCCTCCTGGGGCCCCCCCGAGGGCCTCCTGAGGCTTCCGGGGGCATGGGGCCGTTTCGGGGGCGCGCCCACGAGCGCCGCGTGCGCGCGGGCACGCACGGGGGCGCCCCCGGGGCGTTTTTCGGTCAGGCGCAGCTCGCTGGCGGTTCCAGATATTGATTCTGAGTTTGTGGCCCCCCCCGTTCCTGAGACGGCGGGCGAGCTAACTCTCGCCTGCCCACGTAATCAATGCGTCTGGCACTCCGCAGAACGCTCCGACAACTGGTCGCTCGCTGCCTGACGATTGTCGGGGCCAGCGCTCGCTCCAGAGCGAGAGGGAGAGAGAGAGAGACAGAGAGAGAGAGAGAGAAAAATAAGTACAACACATAACACATAGAGAAAGAGAGAGACAGAGAGAGAAAGAAAGAGAGAGAGAGAGAGACAGAGAGAGAGAGAGAGAGACATAAAGAGAGGGAGAGAGACAGAGAGAGAGAGACAGAGAGAGAGAGAGAAAGAAATACAAGACATAGCACATAGGGAAAGAAATATATGACGGCGGCAGAGGCGAGGGGGCAGCGCTGCCCCGTTCACCGCGAAGCAGATGACGAGCCACAGGGTCAGCGCGGCCCACCGCCCGGTGATGGCTGCCAGCACCGCAATGCCGCCAACGTTCATGAGCACGATGAGGTGGGGCAGAGCCTGCGAGGCGAGACAATGTTGTTGTTTAGGAGGAGAAGGATAAGGAGGAGGAGGAGGAGGAAGATGAGGAGAAGGGGGGGAAAGGCAAGATGCCGAGAAGGAATCCCACCAGGCCTCTGGGCGCAGGTGGTTTACAATTACTCATAATCTTTCTACGGAGATCCCTAGATGCAGCAGGGAAGCCCTTCACGCACAACCCAGGCACGGTGGCGGGCTGGGCCGAAGGCCACTAGATCGGTGTCTGGCGTGCTGGACGCCTGGACGCCCGAGAAGTTTCTGGGTTACTTTAAAGACCCCCCCCGGGCCCCTAGGGCTTCGGCAGAGCGCACCGGTCACCTGGAAGACCTAGTTGCCAAGGTTTTTCCTGCTCCAGATGGCTTCAAGATGGCCCAAGATGGCCTCCAAGACTGCCAAGATGGCCTCCAAATTCGCCCAAGAGGGTCAAGATGGCCTCCAAAACGGCCCCAGAGAGTCCAAAATGCCTCCAAGTTCGCCCAACAACGACTTCAAGACGGCGCAAGACGGCCCCAGAAGCCTCCAAGAGGCCTCTAAGACGGCCCCAGAGGCCTCCAAGAGGTCCTAGGAGAGCCCGACGAAGCCAAAATCGCGTATTCTCCTGAAGTTTACTGAAGGATGTTGGCATTTGTTTCTTTTCGGCCTTCCGATGGCACTAGACAGCCCAGCAGGCCCCAAAGATCGCCCCAAGATGGCCCCAAAGGCCTCCAAGATGACCCCATGACGGCCCAAGAAGCCTCCAAGACGGCCCCAAGAGGGCCCCAAGACGACCCAAGAGTCCTCCGAGACGCCCAACATGGCCTCCAAGACGGCCCTGAAGCGCTCCAAGAAGGCCTTAAGTCGGTTCAGAGAAGCATTCAAGACTGTTTCCGACGGCGTTCGACGGGCCAGGAACGCTCTAAGACGGCCAAACAAGCCCCCAAGAAGCCCCCGAAGGTCATCAAGAGGCCCAAAGAGGTTCCCAAGAGGCCTCGAAGTGGCTCCCAAGAAGCTCGCAGGATGCCCCATGGATTTGTCCTCCCTCTCCTCCGCTCTCCCCCATGTGTTTCCCGAAGGGTTTCCACATCGGTCTGGCTGGGGGAACACATGGTGCGATAGCTTGGCAGATCTCTCGCCACCACATGAGGTCACATGGGCGATTCCACAAGGCAGGGGGCGGCGGTGATTCGTCGTTGGCGCCTTCGTTCTGCACCAGCTATGTATATTCTCCTCCTCCTCCGCCTCCTCCTCCTACATCTGCTGCTGCTGCTGCGCACTCGTCTCGCGAATCCCTTCGTGATGTTCGAACCACTGCTCGCTTGAGCATACCAAGCTACAGTCCAGGGCTGTTCGAAAAGTAACTCCGCCCCCCACGAAATTATCATCTCCCCACCTCCGTTCCCTCCTCCTCCTCCTCCTCGCCCCGCCCCTCCTCCCCCTCCTCCTCCTCTCCTGCACAATTCCACAATCTGGATACCACTGTCCTCTTTCCCCTGACACTATCCGGAGAGTGCCCCGTCCTATCCGCGTATTGTTCTATACACACAAGATTTCATCAATTGTGTTTCCTTTGTGTTGCTTCAATCCAATAATTTCTGTTTTGTCACAATGGTGTTCCCGCTGCACCGTCGCCCTCATTTCCGCGCTTCGGTCATTCAAAGCCGTGCTCCCGCTGCAGCGCTGGCCTCGTTCCCGCGCTGGCAATCGAAAACGACCACATCGGGCATGCACAGAGAACATGGAGCCGGCAGTCAGGACAGGCCCTGTCCGCTCGTAGACGGGGCACTTACCCAGCAAGTCATCCAGTGCCATGCCACGGCATGCAACACGATGCTGTGTTGTGCACCGCTATGCGATGCCATGCTTTGCGTTGCTATGCTTTGTGATGCAACGATTCAATGCGCAATGCCAAGCCATGCTATGACATGCTATGATCTGCCGTGCTCTTCTACGCCATGCTTTTCCATCCATCGCGGGATCATTGCCCTGCTCGGCATCCGACTGTGCAAGTAGATCGGATATCTACGCCATTGTAAGGGATGTGAGGGATAGATAAGACATCTGATGTGACGCTAGCGCACCTAGCTTGCCCTCCCTCCCTCCCCTCCCTCCCCTCCCCTCCCGCGCCTCCCCCTCCTCATCCCCCTCCGCGTCCTGCATCTGCTCCAGAGAGCACTTCGCGCCGTACATGAAGTTGCCTCGCGGCGGATACCAGGCGGCGAGGGCCACCAGCCAGCGGGCAGGGGCAACTGTGGGGCCAGAGCGGACGCCAGCGCTCGCTCCAGCCGCGGCGCTGCCTCGCTGCAGCCTCAGCAGGGGGGCGAATCACGGCCCGAGGTACGTGCGCGGGCCAGGGGTGGCCAAGGGCAACATTGGGATAAGAAGATGGGGCCATGAAATCTGGGGAGATATCATGGCCCCCGCCATGATTTCCCCCTTCCTAGTCATCCCACCCCCCCCTCTTGGCCGCCCCCGATTACAAGGAGGCGGGTTCGCGAGGGAGAAGGAGGAGGAGGAGGGAGAAGGAGGGCGGAGCAGGAGGGAGGAGGAGGGCAAACAGGAAAAGAATGTTACGTGGGCTTGTTCTTTGTTGTCTTGAACGGAAGCACCTGGGGGCCTCCGTGGGCCCGCAAGGACCTCCTGGGCGGAGGAGAAAGCGGAGAGGAAGGGGGGGTGAGAAAGGTGCGGGGGGGTGGGGGGGAAAGTGAAGGGGTAGGGGGTAAGGGCCAAACTCTCGAGAGAAAAGCCGAGGGAAATAGTTGGGCTGGAATCGGCGATGCATCGCCGATAGGCCCCCCAAAGCGATCCTCCATGCTCCTGGGCGGGGAGGGCTATCAGGACCCTATCGGCAGTGATTGGGCGATCGGGGGTCGATTCATCCCCCCCTAGCCTATCTTCCCCTGACTTTGCCCCTGACAAGTGCGCCCCATCCAAGCAAACACGTGTCTCGCAATCGGACAGCAAAGATAGCATTACACTGCACTGTGCATGCTGGAAACCGAAAGGGAGACCACAAACATGTGAGGGACCATACGGCAGACCTTATGGGAGAGCCAACGGGAGACACTAGATGGGAGAACGAATGGCCGTAAGCGTGGGGTGATGAACGTGACGCCAAATGCGCCAGATGCGCCAGTGCTTAATGTAAGCTCGGATCGGGGACAGTGCCGCCATCCCATCCATCTTTGAGCAACGCGACGTAACATGAAAGAAAGTGTTTTTAGCATGGTGCTTGATGTGTGCACCGGAAATCGCTCTGCATGGTCTCTGGTTGGGGACGGTGTGCCGTCGCACGGCGAGACTTACGCTACCGAGGAACCCCACATACTTATATGATGGCTGGAGAAATGAGAGCTGAAGTGAAGCATGTGAGAATGATGTTGGTGGCCGTTGCCCCGCCGATACCGCTGTGCCCTGGACGACCGTCATGGATAGCGGCCGCGGTGAGAGATCACCCCCTGCGCACCCCCTTATGGTGTCGAGAATATGTCATGCCTGCTGTGCCCTGGACGACCGTCACGAATAGCGGCCGCGGTGAGAGACCACCCCCTGCGCACCCCCTATGGTGTCGAAGGTATGCCATGCCTGCTGTGCCCAAGACGACCGTCACGGATAGCGGCCGCGGTGAGAGACCACCCCTTGCGCACCCCCCACGCTGTCGAGAATATGCCCTGCTGTGCCCTGGACGACTGTACGGATAGGCCGCGGTGAGAGACCACCCCATGGTGTCGGAATAGCCATGCCTGCTGTGCCCTGGACGACCGTCACGGATAGCGGCCGCGTGAGAGACCACCCCTTGCGCACCCCTATGGTGTCGAGAATATGCCATGCCTGCTGTGCCCTGGACGACCGTCACGGATAGCGGCCGCGGTGAGAGACCACCCCCTGCGCACCCCCGATGGTGTCGAGAATATGCCATGCCTGCTGTGCCCTGGACGACCGTCACGGATAGCGGCCGCGGTGAGAGACCACCCCCTGCGCACCCCCTTATGGTGTCGAGAATATGCCATGCCTGCTGTGCCCTGGACGACCGTCACGGATAGCGGCCGCGGTGAGAGACCACCCCCTGCGCACCCCCTATGGTGTCGAGAATATGCCATGCCTGCTGTGCCCTGGACGACCGTCATGATGGCGGCCGCGGTGAGAGACCACCCCTGCGCACCCCCTATGGTGTCGAGAATATGCCATGCCTGCTGTGCCCTGGACGACCGTCACGGATAGCGGCCGCGGTGAGAGACCACCCCCTGCGCACCCCCTATGGTGTCGAGAATATGCCATGCCTGCTGTGCCCTGGACGACGACGCGTCACGGATAGCGGCCGCGGTAAGAGACCACCCCTTGCGCACCCCTACGTGTCGAGAATATGCCATGCCTGCTGTGCCCTGGACGACCGTCACGGATAGCGGCCGCGGTGAGAGACCACCCCCTGCGCACCCCCTATGGTGTCGAGAATATGCCATGCCTGCTGTGCCTGGGACGACCGTCACGGATAGCGGCCGCGGTGAGAGACCACCCCCTGCGCACCCCCCATGGTGTCGAGAATATGCCATGCCTGCTGTGCCCTGGACGACCGTCACGGATAGCGGCCGCGGTGAGAGACCACCCCCTGCGCACCCCCTATGGTGTCGAGAAATGACATGCTGCTGTGCCCTGGACGACCACGGATAGCGGCCGCGGTGAGAGACCACCCCTTGCGCCCCCCCCTATGGTGTCGAGAATATGCCATGCCTGCTGTGCCCTGGACGGCCATCACGGATAGCGGCCGCGGTAAGAGGCCACCCCTTGCGCACCCCCTACGCTGTCGAGAATATGTCATGCCTGCTGTGCCCTGGACGACTGTCACGATAGCGGCCGCGGTGAGAGACCACCCCTGCGCACCCCCTATGGTGTCGAGAATATGCCATGCCTGCGGTGAGAGACCACGACCGTCACATAGCGGCCGCGGTGGTGTCGACCACCCCCTGCGCACCCCTATGGTGTCGAGAAATGCCACACCTGCTATGCCTGGACGACTGCACGGATAGCGGCCGCGTGACCACCCCCTGCGCACCCCCTATGGTGTCGAGAATATGACGGCATAGCGGCCGCGGCTGTGTTCTAGACCACCCCCTGCTGTCACGGATAGCGGCCGCGGTGAGAGACCCCCCCTGCGCACCCCAATGGTGTCGAGAATATGCCATGCCTGCTGTGCCTTGGACGACCGTCACGGATAGCGGCCGCGGTGAGAGACCACCCCCTGCGCACCCCCTATGGTGTCGAGGATATGCCATGCCTGCTGTGCCGTGGACGACCGTCACGGATAGCGGCCGCGGTGAGAGACCACCGCCTGCGCACCCCCTATGGTGTCGAGAATATGCCATGCCTGCTGTGCCCTGGACGACCGTCACGGATAGCGGCCGCGGTGAGAGACCACCCCCTGCGCACCCCCTATGGTGTCGAGAATATGCCATGCCTGCTGTGCCCTGGACGACCGCACGGATAGCGGCCGCGGTGAGAGACCACCCCCTGCGCACCCCCGTATGGTGTCGAGAATATGCCATGCCTGCTGTGCCCTGGACGACCGGTCATGGATAGCGGCCGCGGTGAGAGACCACCCCCTGCGCACCCCCTATGGTGTCGAGAATATGCCATGCCTGCTGTGCCCTGGACGACCGTCACGGATAGCGGCCGCGGTGAGAGACCACCCTTTGCGCACCCCCTACGCTGTCGAGAATATGCCATGCCTGCTGTGCCCTGGACGACCGTCACGGATAGCGGCCGCGGTGAGAGACCACCCCCTGCGCACCCCCTATGGTGTCGAGAATATGCCATGCCTGCTGTGCCCTGGACGACCGTCACGGATAGCGGCCGCGGTGAGAGACCACCCCTGCGCACCCCTATGGTGTCGAGACTATGCCATGCTGCTGGCCTCGCACGGCCGCCTTCGCAACCCCCTTAGTGTCGAGAATATGCCATGCCTGCTGTGCCCTGGACGACCGTCACGGATAGCGGCCGCGGTGAGAGACCACCCCCTGCGCACCCCCTATGGTGTCGAGAATATGCCATGCCTGCTGTGCCTGGGCGACCGTCACGGATAGCGGCCGCCGTGAGAAACCACCCCCTACGCACCCCCTTGGTGTCGAGAATATGCCATGCGTGCTGTGCCCTGGACGACCGTCACGGATAGCGGCCGCGGTGAGAGACCACCCCCTGCGCCCCCCCTACGCTGTCGAGAATATGCCATGCCTGCTGTGCCCTGGACGACTGTCACGGATAGCGGCCGCGGTGAGAGACCACCTCTTGCGCACCCCCTATGGTGTCGAGAATATGCCATGCCTGCTGTGCCCTGGACGACCGTCACGGATAGCGGCCGCGGTGAGAGACCACCCCCTGCGCACCCCCTATGGTGTCGAGAAGATGCCATGCCTGCTGTGCCCTGGACGACCGTCACGGATAGCGGCCGCGGTGAGAGACCACCCCCTGCGCACCCCCTATGGTGTCGAGAATATGCCATGCCTGCTGTGCCCTGGACGACCGTCACGGATAGCGGCCGCGGTGAGAGACCACCCCCTGCGCACCCCCTATGGTGTCGAGAATATGCCATGCCTGCTGTGCCCTGGACGACCGTCACGGATAGCGGCCGCGGTGAGAGACCACCCCTTGCGCACCCCTATGGTGTCGAGAATATGCCACGCCTGCTGTGCCCTGGACGACCGTCACGGATAGCGGCCGCGGTGAGAGACCAGCCCCTACGCACCCCCTACGCTGCTGTGCATGTGCTGTGCTGTGCTGTGCTGTGCTGTGCTGTGCTGTGCTGTGCTGTGCTGTGCTGCGCTGTGTAAGAAGGAGAGAGGGGAGGAGGAGACGCGGGTGCACCGCGGCAGGGAAGAAAACCAGAACCCCACGAACCATGTGGGGAAAATGATCCCACCCCTCCGATCTCTGTCAACCGAAAAACACAAAGTGATGGCGGGATGCTCGCACACAGTCCAGTGCTTGCCATGTGCATGTTGCTTTGATTCGTGAAGTTGATGGTGGGAAGTGTTGGCATTGATTCGTGCCGGCCGCTGGGGATCGGGGATGGAGCGTTTACGCATTCGGCGAACATACGAATGGGTGGCAAGGGGGGATGTTCCTCCCTCCTCGCTCCTCCCTAATCCTCCTGACATTATCCTCATCCTACTCCTCCTCGAGGCGGGGTGTGAACAGGGGAAGAAGGAGGAGAAGGAGGAGGAGGAGGAGGAGGAGAAGGAAGAGACAGGTAGAGGGAGGGAGTCGAGGGTGCGCTAGGGGACTCCTGAGAGTCCTCCTCCTCCTCCTCCTCCTCCTTCTCTTGCTCCTGCTGCTCCTCTTCCTGCTCATTTCCTCCTTCTTCCCCAACTCTTCCTCCCGCTCCTCTTTCCTTGTTTCCCTCATGTCCTCTCCGTTACACTTTCTCTCTCTCTCTCTCTCTCGCTGCCTGCCGTCTGCTCTGCTCTTGTCCTCTGTCGCCTTCCTTCACCCGTGCACCCCTCTCCACAACTACTGATGTGTTTTCTTTGAAACGTCAGAGCGGCGCAACCGGACAGGCCCTGATCACAGACACAGAGGTCGACGATGACGGGCAAGCGATGGCGATGTTAGGCATGGTCTCCCTTGCGGTCGTTATTCCTGTCTAGCTCAACGTCGGTATAATCGTTCAGGCCGTACACCAACAAATTCAAGGGGAAGACCTGTTGCGAAAAACTGAGAATTGCAAGCATCCAGCGTCACCAACAAGTATGTGCGAAGCCATCTCCTTTTCCCTCCTCCTCGTCCTCATCGTCTTACTCCTCCCCCTCACTTCCTGCAGCGCGCGGATTGGAAGCGTCATGCACAATCGGGGGAGGGGGGATGAGCCCTTGACGCTCCATTTCCTGCTGAATGCCTGAGGTGACCGGGGCAAAGGCATTCGCCACTCACGAACAACAACAACCCCGAGCTTAGATCCCAACGCAAGGTACGCAAAATCTTCCGCTCCCCTTAGCTGCCACCAACTGCATGCGTGGGTGTTGCGAACGATGACCAAAAAATGAAGATCCTCAACAGCCGAGAAGAGGACGGGCCAATTACACAAGGCAATAATGACGGCTTCTTTGAAGGACTGGCCGTCTCCTGCCCAAATTGCCAGCGACCTGGCACATGGTAGTGACAACCTGGAGAGCTACAGCGTAGAACGCAGTGACAAAGCAAACAAACACCATAACTCCCATGAGTCTTGTCTTGATAGCAAGTGGGCGCAGCATCCGTGCCCTTTTCGAAGCAAACCTCCGCAATGTACATGGTTGATTGTTGGGCAATACAAGAACGAGTTTATTGGCAATGCTGCGATTGCGTTGCCAATGTTGCTTCAAAATCACACACGGGAGGATGCTCCGGTAAAGAGAATTTCGGACCAGTGAAATTTAAGTTGCGAGATCGTGTCTACCATAAGTTGTTGTCAGTGATTGATGTAACGCTCCTCAAACAGCCACTTGGAGGCCCCCAGTCGGCTTTGCAATCCAAGATGGTTCCCAGAAGGCGTCATGAGTGGCAGGCAGCGGTGGGCCAAGACTGCCTCCAACCTGGTCACCAATGTCGACTGGCTGAGCCAAGGTCGGACCCAACGCTCGTTCACATAAACACTTCCAGAATGGAGGTGGCGGCACAGATTCGCCGGAGGCGTCTTCGACAAGACTGTGGCCAAAGTAGAACCCAAAGAACATGTCGGGACTCCATGGGGACCCCGTATTTGTAATCAACATGGAAATCTGAGGTCGTCGTCAACCGGTTCATAACCTGGCTCTCGGTAGGGCGGGTTGTTTCGATTCAGTGGGCTCGATCTTGTTTTATTCCGATCATTTTCGATTGCCCATTCACGTCAGCAACCCTTCCAATCGTGATCATCGATATCATCATCATCGTCATCACCATCGCCTTCATCATCACTCATTTCCCTCACATTACCGTCGTCGTCATCGTCACCCACGGTCGCCAGAGCAGTGCCGACCTTCGGCGGAAGATGGGGGAAGGCATATGGCAAGAACCTGAGTTCGGTGTGAATCATCCGCAATTCATACTGTTCCAGCCAGGCCAGCGTCGAGCGGGGCTCCATCGGCGAGGCCACCGCCCACAAGATCGGCCCGAGATGTTTCTACCAGCGCCGCCGTCTGGTCAAGGGGGCGCACTGGGATCGCGGCCAATTGCTGGGCCACGGCCCAGTTGACGACTCGGGAAGAATATATTGGGCATGGCGTGGCGTTGATCTTGCCTGCCCTCACATTCCGAAACACGTCCGAGCGGATCGCGACGGCGATCTGCAGCCCGCTGTCGGCTGTTGCAGCTTCAGCGTGGCCCTGTGCTGTGGCCGCAAGTGGGTCGAAGGCGCGCAAACGCTCGTCGTGGTGGCGCGCGTTGTGGTCCAGTGCGGGCAGGTTCTCTGCGCGGAGGAACCCTGGCCCTGGTGCGAGGTTGGCCTCTCCCTCGCCCATCCGCGCCTGCGCGGTGGGTCCCCCGAAAAGCGTCGCGGACGCGCGCGTTCAGGAACCGCCGCCGTCTGCGCGCCAGCCGTCGCTCCGTCGCCCTGGCCCCGTAACCTGGATCAATGCGCGCGCGAAAGCGTTGTCGGCGAGCTCCTCTTCTAGGGCGGAGTTCCCGCTGACTGCGAGGAGGGCGTCGGGAAGTTTGCCCCGGGCGACCGCCCCCCGCATGTTCTACGTCAGCGGTTCCAGCCGAAGTCGCCGCGTTCCCCGCGCCGCCCGCGCGAGAGCGGCGAAGCGCATCGACGCGATCGGGGGCAAGTTCGCGTCGGAGTTCAGGCTGCGGAGGGCTTGACAGCCTTCGCTGCCCCCATTCGGGCCCGCGTGGAGAAGGCCCTGCCCGACCCAAGGCGCTGCTCGGTCGCGCCGTTCCAGCTGGGGCACCGCAGCAAACACAGACGCAAATCTGGGCCCAGGAGCGCCTCATCCACGGTTCCGACGACGTTTTTTGCCCGCGGCCCTGTCCAGGCGGACCGCCGAGGCAGCGTTGGGCGGCCGCAGAAAAGAATTGGCACTTGCAGAGGCGGCGTCTATTCCGTCGCCCGGGTGCCATTGCAAAACTCGCTCGACGAAGTCGGCGAAGGCCTTTGGAGGGGCCCGCGAGACACGGAGGGGGCCGCTCCACCGCTGCAGCGCCGGGGTTCCGGGATGGCCCCCCGCCGTTGTAGCCGCCGTTCCATGCCGCGCGCCGAGGAAAGGCGGGGGCCTCAGCCGCGCGGGCCTCCCCCATTCTGCGCGCGGAGGCCCCGAGAGCGCAAGCGCGGCGTCTGCGGCGCCCGCGAAGTCTCTGCCAGAGGGCCCCAGCGTCGGCGAGAGAACGAGCGGGAGGCCAGCGCGCCACCCCGAGGCCGCGCATCTAAACCATTTCGGCGACGCTGGTTCCCCGGGCGGACGTCGAGGAGCCTGCGATTGAACGCGCGCGCGCCGGGGTCGTCGTCGCCCCTGCGCAGCCCCCTTGAGGATCCGATCCGTGAAAAAATTGCGGCGCTGCATTGGTAAACGGCCCGTGCTTATTGCATGGCTTTTGTCCCGAATTAGCTTGCGTTGAAGAACGCGTTCCCGACGAAGAAATCGGTTCCCGAATGCTTCCGGTCGTGCGTGACCGTGCCCCCGAATAAGAGCACCGGTTCCCGAGTGCATCGCGCATGATGCTATGTTGTGCTGTGCTGTATTACACTATGTAATGGTATGGTATGTTATGTTAATGGTATCATATGGCATGTGATAGTATGAAATAATGTCAGGCTATGTTATGGCAGTGCGCAGTGTCATGCTATGTTGTAATATTGTATGGTACTGACACAATAATATCAGATGGTATGTTATGATTCGGTATTACATGTGTTGAGATATGCTGTATGGCGTGAAAGATGGTGTTATGGTATTGTGTAACATGTTCGTGTAATTTTATTGTGCGATGTAGCGTGCTCGTAAGTTGTGGTAAACGGTATGACGTGTTAGAATGGTTGCATATGATGATATGATGTATATGATATCGTTGTGTATACATATATGCTCGCGCCCCCCCACCACACACATATATATATATGTATATATAATAAAGCCTGGTGAAAGGACGCAATCATATGCAGTTGTGATCACCGCAATTCTGAATATCTTCTTCGGTGCTCCCTATGGGGCCACGAAGCGCTGTGCTGGAGAGAAGTTGCTGGGGCCTTCGGCGGGGCCCCCTACAGGGCCACTAAACGCTGCCCTGGGTGGGGGGACCGCATGCGAGAGCAGCCACTGGGGCCTTCGGTGGAGCTCCCTATGGGGCCACGCAGCGCTGCCCTGGGCGGGGGGACCGCATGCGAGAGCAGCAGCTGGGCCATTGGTGGAGCTCCCTATGTGGCCACGAAACGCTGCCCTGGGCGGGGGCCCGCATGCGAAAGCAGTTGCTGCGGCCTTCGGTGGAGCTCCCTATAGGGCCACGAAACGCTGCACTGGGTTAGGGAACCGCATGCGAGAGCAGCCACTGGGGCCTTCGGTGGAGCTCCCTATGGGGCCACGAAACGATGCCCTGGGTGGGGGAACGCATGCGAGAGCAGCCGCTGGGGCCTTCGGTGGAGCTCCCTATGGGGCCACGAAACGCTGCCCTGGGTGGGGGGACCGCGTGCGAGAGCAACCACTGGTGCCTTCAGTGGAGCTCCGCATGGGGCTACGGAACGTGCGAGAGGTGCGCCGAGGGCAGAGGCAAGGATGGGGGGGGGAGGGGGGGGGGTGCGGAGGGGGGGGGGGGGCAAGCTAGGTGCGCTCGCGTCATATATGACATCCTACCCTCCCTCCTATCCCTTACCCTGGCGCAGATCCCCTCTCTACTTGCTCACTCGGATGCCGAGCAGGACAATGACCCCGAAAGGGTACGCGATGCATTGTAGAGCACGGCGTGGCATGGCGTAGAAGAGCACAGCAACACGCAATATCAACCTAGCATTGAATTGCATGCCTGGCATGACACGGGACACGGCGCCAGAACAAACGCGCCGTGAAGAAAGACACGGGACACGGAATGAAGAACACGACTGATAATAGCGAAAGGAGCACGAGTCGAAACGAGCGGAAGCGCGGAAATGAGGCCAACGCTGCAGCAGGAGCACGAGTCGGAACGAGCGGGAGCGCGGAAATTGGCCGAAACGCTCGCGGGACTCGCTGCCGAGGGGCCCGCGGAAACGCTGGACATTGCCGCTGCCCCCAGGAGAGGGGTCAGAGGCGATCGAGCCGATGCGGCCTGATGAACGAGGAAGAAGACGATTGATTGGCGCGGGGGCAAGAAACAGGAATCTGATGATGATGATGATGCTGATGATGATGACGATGATGCTGTTGATGATGATGATGATGATGATGATGATGATGATGATGATGATGATGATGATGATGATGATGATGATGATGATGATGATGATGATGATGATGATGATGATGCTGGAGCGGAAAAGTATCGATTTAAGATTGTCACCGTCAGCACCACTACCATCAGCATCATCACCATCGCCGTCATCACCATCATCACCATCCTCATCATCGTCATCCATACTGGAGACACTCCACTGCCTCACAAAAAGCCCACGCTGTCGTCACCCAGTGTTTTTGGACATTTCCCGAAGCCCTCGATGCGGCTGGCCGAGCCTGGCGAAACTGGCCGGGACGGACCGTGGAAGGGCCCTGGGGACACGTTTCGAGTAAATTCTGGTCGACGACGACGACGACGCCGACGGCTGCGGCGGCGGCGACGACACGACGAAACGACATCTAATGTCTTGTTTCTTCAGCATAAGGTCCCAGAAATCCCTACCCTTTCCCCCAAGCCAGCTGTTCATCTCGAACATTTTTTGGACGGTCCTGGGGCCCAGCGAGGGCCGCCGGAGGCCGAAAAGTGCAGAAACCATCCGTCGTGATTTTTGTTCGCAACGCGACCATATCTGTGGACGACGACATGGCCCAGCTCGCAGCCCCTGCCGAAGGGACCGCGTAGAGGAGCCCCAGCCAGAAAGGCCAGGTCGCGAGCAGCTCGTACATCTGGCCCGTAGGGGCAAGGTAGAGCCTGCCCCGCCCTCTCGCCGTCAAGTAGGAACCAGGACGAAGAGGAAGAGGAAGAAGGATCAGGAGGGTTGGAGACGAGGACGACGAGGGAGGGTGGTGGATTTCCCTCAAGGACATTCACCAGCAGAATGCCCAACAGCAGCTGCTGCCCAAAACCGACAGCGGCCGCTGTTAGGCAAGCGTCTTTGTGCCTCCAGTGGGCAACGCCCAAGGAGACACCGACAACGAACCCTGTTAAAGACATGGGCAGGAAGCGCGAACAGTCCACGTGGCAGCTCTGCCGCTGTCTGGCTGCTGGCGGCGGGGAGGCGGGAGGCGCTGCGGGAGTCGCCGCCCCTCCTCCCCGATCCTCCTCGATCGTCTTCCTCGTTCCTCCTCCACGATTCCCTCTTCCTGCTCCCCCTCCTCGATCCCCCTCCTCCTCGACCCTCCACCTCCTCCTCGATCCTCCCCCTCCTCGATTTTCCTTCTGTCTCCTTCCGACCCACGCCCCCTCTTGTAAGGAAAGCGGAGGGGGTGGGCGCTGGGTCGGCCTCGGCTCGCGGCACTGGGGACTCAAGAAGCGCCGGCTCCGCCCACAACCCCTTGACGGGGAGGTGAGATGGCCTGCTCGGTGAGATCTCCGACGCGGTGGCCATTTCACACCGTGGGCCTCTCGGAGGTCTCGACCTCCCCCTGGGAACGGCTGTCATCCCGATTCGATCCGCATCCGACAGGCCGGTGTTGATTGACAGGTTTAAGAGAAGGAGCGGGCTCCCTATCCGCCTCGCTCACACTGCACACCGCGGTGCCAGGCACCAAGGGTCCCGGTGCTCCCTGGGTATCTCGCCTCGCGTCTTCGATTAATGACGACTGCATGCCGTGGCTGCCAGGTCCCAAGGGGCCCGCTGCTCCATGGGGATCCCGCCTTCTGCTCTCGGGTGGGGATCGCTCGAAACCAAATACTTGTTGCTTGACGTTCCCAACGGCCCCGAAAAGCCGAAAACGGCCAGAGCCTTCCATCGTGCTCGTGTACGGCGCGAGGGGTCTCGGGACCTTCGACGTCGTGTTGTTGTTCTTGTGGTGGGCCCCCAGCAATCTCGACCTTACGTATGCCCCATGGGGGCTGGGTCTTCATCCTGGGTCCTGGCCAGTTCTTCAGCCGGACGGCCGCGAAACTCAAAGACTGCCCCCTCGCATATTCATTCGCAAACAAGCCATACACCGTCCAGCGCGTGGGTGGGACAGACATCGAACCCTACAAACCACATAATGCTTGGGAGAAGCGCCCGCGCAGGCAAAATAAAGAAAGACGAGGAATCTGACGAGAAAGGGGCGCCCCCCGGCGCAACCCTCTCGAATCACCAAAGAGGTCGATCCTTTCGGCCTAGCCTTCCATTCGGAGATCGAAGCGTCGCAACCACTCACTCCGGGCATTCCTGATTTCGGGCTCCGCGGGGCCCTCGCGGATCAATCCTCGACTCGAGACATGTCGCGGATAAGATTGATGTCGTGCTTTCGGGTCGTAAATTCCCACGATTTGTCTTTTCCCACGACGTCGGATCTCAATATTATCCATTATCTTCCTTCCAAAACTTTCCTGGGACTGCTCTTTCAGGATGAAACGTCCTGGGGTCCGACGATTGATTTCCAAATGCCAGCCACGCCGGGGAACTTTCTGGCTCGATCTGCTCTAGTCTCTTGAACTCTGTGCTCATCA